CATGAAATGGAGCTTAGTTATGTAGCATGAGGCTGTATATTCTGCAACACTGGGACTATCGGTGAGTCAACAATGGGTCAAAGGAGTAGCAGAGATGACAGTTGCTCTTTAAAAATTATGATTTAAATCGAGTTGATTTAAATCAAGCCTTTTTACTAGTGATTTAAATCATGATTTAAATTGTGATTTAAATCAACTCGATTTAAATCAAATCCACCCTGCCACCACTAGAAAGCACCTTTGGGACACCACCAGATTACTACAATGGCAGACCAATCACACTCAATGTGAAACTCTCAATGGAACTACATCAAAATGCAAATATACAATCTGGGGTCATAATGAAAAAACAGCGTATCTTAGCTCAAGCCTGATTGCATCATGGAAGTTGGGAATAACCAACAGACTGCCATTCCAAGGCAGACCCAACTTCAACCCCAAAGGTATAAATACTAAAACTACTTTGGTAGTCTTCAGTTAACTAATGTAATTGGGATTGGAAATTTCCATCGCTAAGCAACACGGTTAGAAAGTTCAGTGTCACATGAGTGCATCATTTAGCGGCAGCAACTCAAGCACTCCTGGTTGCTGTTGTTAACCAAATGCCACCCGGCTGTTAGGCGAGGACTCACATAATCCAGAAGTAAGTTTCAGCAGGTTCTGACCAGTTCTGGAGAACCGGTAGCGGAAATTATGAGTAGTTCGGAGAATCAGTAAATACCACCTCTGACTGGCCCCGCCCCCATCTATTCTCTACCTCCTGAGTCCCAGCTGATCGGGAAGGAATGGAGATTTTACAGTGTCCTTCCCCTGGAGTGGGGAGGGAATGGAGATTTTACCGTATCCTTCCCCTGCCATGGCCACCAAGCCATGGCCACCAAGCCACACCCACAGAACCGTTAGTAAAAATTTTTGAAACCCACCAGACCTAATCCAACACATTCCTAGCTTGGTGCCTCACAGCTCTGAGTCTCAGTAAGCTAAGGAACTTCCTCCTCTTAAACTGCACCCATCTCTGCTCTTTCAGCTGCCCTGCCCATCATCTCTGCTGGCGCTGCTGCCCTATGCTCTGCTCCACCTGCTTCTAAGTCTTATGAGAAGGCCTCACACAGTTTGGACAAGGCCTCATATAGCCTTGGGAACAAGGCCTGGCACAGCCAGCAGCTGCCTTGTGAAGGGTCAGGCCAGGAGCCGTGGTTGCACAGTGGTGAGAATGTTAACTCACTAACTCATTGTTTACTCCAGGAGTTCTATCCTGACCGGCTCAAGCCTTCCATCCTTCCGAAGTTGGTAAATTGAAGACCCATATTGTTGGAGGCAATATACTGACTCTGTAAACTGCTTAGAGAGGGCTGTAAAGCAGTATGTTAAGGAGCGGTACCGTATTTTTCAGAGTATAAGACGCTCCGGACTATAAGACGCACCTACCTTTTTTTGGTGAGCAAAAAAAGAAAAAGAAATCTGCCTCTGCCTCCCAGCAATTTTGCCTTGTTGCAGCAAACAGCAAATAGCCTGCTTTACTTTCATTTTCGTTTTCAGCATAGCTTGATTAGCACAAGAAAAAAAAATCTGTTCCCAGCAATTTACCTCCTTGCAGCAAGCAGCAGATGCCCCCACCAAATAGCTAAGAGCAAAACACCTGAGAGTCGGGAGGCCGATCCAATCAACCTGTGCTAATTAGACTGTGCTGAAGCTGTAAGGAGCTGTTTCTTCTTGCTGCTTGCTGCAAGGAGGTAAACTGCTGGGAGGCCAAAGGGTGGGGGGGCCAGTGGGTGGGAGGGGCTACATTTGATGTATAAGACGCACCTAAATTTTCACCTCCTTTTAGGGGGGAAAAAGGTGTGTCTTATACTCCGAAATATACAGTATATAAGTCTAAGTGCTATTGCTATTATCAGCTGTGGGAGGAAGATAGCAAGAGCAACTAGGGGCAGCAAGGCTGAAAGAGCTGGCAGATGCAAGGTGGCCAATAGGGGAGAAATGGGTGGGGGGAGAATAGGTGGGTAGGAGGGAACTAAAGTGCCCCTGCGATTGTTAAATGTAAATTTTGCTCACGTGACCATAGGGGTGCGTGTAACTTCTGAGGTATCAGGTGTAACTATTACTTGTTCATAATTTCAAATGGTCGCTGAATGAACGGCCATTAACCAAGGACTACTTGTAGAATCTTGCAACTGTGAATGTGCCTCCCTTTTTTCTGCCCTTATCCTATAGAGAAATAGGGAAGGTAAAATCTGGATCATTTTAAAAAATCCCATTCCTGCCTTGGACTCAGATTCCTCTTATCTGACCATTGCCTCGGCAGTGGCTTTTCCTCCAGTTCTTCCAGGTTATTCTCAGAGCCTATTACGTAGCCTTTCCCTGCTTAATTGAACAGGATGGGTCAATTCAGATAGGAGAAGGAGCTGCAGGAATAATCTAGGTTGCAGGCTTTAAAGCTTAAAAACCAGCATCCAGGAACTTGGTAGTCAGCCCTTGCCAGTAAGGCAGAGCTGCGTGGTTTCACGTTTTTTAAAAAAATATTATTTTAATAAGAATTTTGATTATAATAGAAAAAAAACAATACAAACTAAACTTCAAGGAAGAGAAGGGAGAAGAAAAAGAAGAAAAAGTACAGGAAAGAAAAAAAACATAAAGTAGTGGCATCCAACTTTTATCACAACAAATATCAACAAATTTAGTAATTTTTCACTCCTTTTAAGAGTGAACAAACAGATCTCTTCATCCCATATCCCATCTCATATCTATAAATAAATCCATAAAACATAAACTTTTCAGTCCTGGGATCAGCAAAATGTCCAGAAGGAATTGCTAGAATGGTTTTTTTTTAAAAAGTCTTGTTTTTATGATTTTATAACCCACCTTTATTATTTTTACAAATAACTCAAGGCAGCAAACATTTCCAATACACATTTCTCCTCCTATTTTCTCCACAAGAACCCTATGCGATTATTTTGGGCTGAGAGAGAGTGACTGGCCCAGTCACCCAACTGGCTTTCTTAGCTAGGGAGGGAATTGAACTCATGGACTCTTGCTTTCTAGCCTGGTACCTTAACCACTAGGCCAGGCGTGTCCAACCTGTGACCCATGAGCTGCATGTGGCCCTGGAGAGCTAATAATGCATCCCCACAAGATCGTAAATTTTTAACATTATTATGTGATTTACGTACATTGAATTTATTATGCATTTTATATTTGTTCCAAGACAATTCCTCTTTACTCAATGTGACTGAAGCAAGCCAAAAGGTGGAACACCCATGCACAAGACCAAACTGGCTCTTGATCAATTAAGACAACTTTATATTTCTTCCTTTTACTTCTAATGATCTTAATCTCTAATTCAATCAAGTATTGTTATAGGATTTAATTTCTCTTCGATTTTTCTTTATCCCATTGCACAACATTTCTTTTAAGGGTTTAACAAGCTTCTTTTGTAGATCTAGTAAGAAAATATTTCCCAGGTCATTCTCTATTTATATTTACTTTCTAAATTTTCAAATATCAGGGAGTTTCTTTTGTATATCCAAAAAGGGTCCTTTTTCCAGATTGGCTTGTCATTTGTAGTTCTACTTCTAATACTTTCTGTCTTGTCAGAAAACATTTGCTATAAACCTGTCATTTCCTTATTGACATCTTCTGGATATAATCTATCCACAGAATCGAACATCATTACTGACATTGTAATGTTTACTAACGCCTGGCTTCATTCTTTAAAGATCTCCTTTAATGTTTCCTTAATGTTATGTTTTTTGTCATTTTGTAAACCCCAGTATTAATTGACATCAATAACAAGCTTGTATTTTTTCCTTCTGCTCAGATCTCTAATCCCCCTTTAAACTGATGTCCAGCTTCTAAAATCCTAAATTAACTTACCTTTGTTATGACTTACAATAGCCAGAATAGTGAAATAAGTGTTTCCCACAAGAAACTATTTTTATAGTCAATTCCAAAATCTTAGCAATATTCCAAATTTATCTGAATCCTTAATTCATTTATAACTTCCTTAGATCAAATTCTTAGTCTTTTACTGTTCATTTCAAAATCTTTTAAGTCCTTATGTTTATAACTTTTCAAAGGTCCTTGTTATTCCAAGGTCTCTAATAGCTTTACAATGGTTAATAACCAATTTCTAAAAGTGGTTAAAAAGTGAGACTTGCAAACTTTGTGTTCTTTAAAAGGCTCTGTGACAGTTGTGAGCAAGATGGCTGATCCCTGTGTCTCTCAACATTCAAACCCATAGAAAACCACTGTCCTGCAGTTCCCTCACAGGAGGCAACCATCCAGAGGACATGTGGGCAATCACATGTCTATTCTCCAAAGCACCTGAGGGCAGGACAAGAAGCAATGGATGGAAGCAATGGATCCAGGAGAGAAGCAACCTAGAACTAAGGAGAAACTTCTTGACAGTTAGAACAATTAATCAGTGGAACAGCTTGCCTCCAAGAAGGGTGCTCCAACATTGGAAGTTGTTAAGAAGAGATTGGACAATCATTTGTCTGAAATGGTATAGGATTTCCTGCCTGAGTAGGGAGTTGGACTAGAAGACCTCCAAGATTCTTTCCAACTCTGTTATTCTATTCTGTCCTGTTCCTGTCCTATCCTTATCCAAAGTGGTTTTGAGGTTCCTATTCTCTGGTCTTCTATTTAAAAAATAAATAAATTATTAAATATATATATGCCCCCGATTTCACTGTCTTTGCTGCAGTTGTCAGTTCCATTTTCATTATACTTCCCCTGGGACTTGTTGCCTTCATAATTTTCAATCTGGTATAGATGTTTATGTTTTCTTCTTTCTTTTTCGTAGATGTACCCCCCTCCCCTTTTCTTGAAAAACCATCTTTCTGGCCCACATCACCTTATTCCACTTTACCACTCTTATCAAAATATTTCTCAAGATACTAAAAAATAATGGAGACAAGTCTTTCTTGAGCATAAGAACAGTATCAGGTACCTGAAAAAGTGGAGGGGACAGTAGGAGTAATCTACTGATTCAGGCCTACCTGGAATTCTTCTTGATTCCTAAGCAACTGACAGCGTTCCTTTAGCAGTTCCTCCAGTGCTAATTCTGGCTCTTGACACTCTTGCACACCTTGGGGGAAATCTGTTACCAGACTGGAAAGTTCGAGATGGCATACCAGTCAAATAAGAGGGAAAGAAATAAGCAAAGTTTAGAGGTGGGCAAATTTACAATTTGCCAATTTACAATTTACAATTAAGAAATTAACAATTTCTTTAAAAAAGAAAGAAAGAATACAAAAAAAAAATTGGGTTTCCTTTATTCATTTAATAAAAGATAACAAAGGGAAAAAAAGAGTAAAAGAAACAAGAAGAAAATCAGAGAAAGGAATACAACATATCATGATGTATATTGGTCATATGCAAGTTGTATTAATCATATACCTGTATAGTACAGACATGGATAAGAAGCCATACTTTTTGTTAGCTGGGAGGTAACTAAATGTTTTTGGTTTTATTTAGCCATTTATTTATTTATTTATGGCTTCATATGACCCGCCAACTTGGAAAAATTTGAGTCTGGGCAGTGTACAATGATAAAAACAAAACTTGAAATAAAAAACAGTCAGGGCTCATCAACATGTATTCAACTTTCCAGGATGAGCTTCTCTAACATCCTGGCCCAGATGACTGAGGGAATAGCCACTTCTTTGAAGTCTTCTTGAAAGTTTAACAGGATCGGGGCCAGTCAAATCTCAGGGTGGCTCAGAAGGCTTGTAATCTAGCAGGGCTAGGCCAGCCAAAAAGTTTTATTTAAAATGAAATTTGGAGCTCCAAAAAACCACCAAGGACACAGTTACATATTCATATTATTTATTAACTGTTGCATTTAGCAGATCCTTTGTAAAATAATCTTAACAAAATGAAAGATCCCTGTGAGCTAATCTTGGGGGAAAAAAACTAATATCCATATAATAAATTAACAAACACAATCATGGCCTCAAAGAATGGAGAAAGAACTGCTTCTATTCATTGTTTCTGCCAGCCATTCAGCAATCATAGTGCCTTCCCTACTCAAATTATAAGCAATATTTTATAATTGCATCGTTGCATGTTTTAACTGTATGCATGTATGTATGTATGTATGTATTGCATTTGTAAGCCATCCAGTGTCCAGTAGTGTGTGCAGCTATAATAAATTTAAATAGAGCCAATTGGGTCTAGTGGTGAAAGCACTAGGTTAGAAAGCGAGACACCGTGAATTCAAGTCCCCATTAGCCATGAGCGCCAGTTGGGTGACTTTGAGACAGTCACTCTCTCTCAACACAACCCACCTCACAGGATTGTTGCTGTTGTGGGAAAAATGGGAGGCGGAAAGTATATTGTATATATTAGCTGCCTTGAGTTATTTGTAAAAATAACAAAAGCGGAATATAAATGAATGAATGAATGAATGAATTTATCCATTCAATTTCTAGAGCCTCCCAGTCTCAAGTCAATGAGTGAGTGGCTTACAATACAAAAAAATATACTACCATTCAAATGCTAACGTTTTTTCAAACAATAAAAATAATTTAGTTCTCAACAGTCCATAAACTGCTTAAGTTTCATTATTTAGAGCAGTACTTTTCAAACCTGGCAACTTTAAGAAGTGTGGACCTCAATTTCCAGAATTCACCAGCCAGCAATCTGAATTGAAGTCCCCACATTTTAAAGTTCCCAAGATTGTAAATAATGATTAGAGCAATATCCAGAGTTTGGCAAATCTCAGTGGTTCTCCCTGATAGTGATCACCATAATAACTGGTGACGAGAGGAGAGTCTTCTGCAGCTCTTTTAATGTTATCCTGGCTTTTTTTTGGGGGGGGGGGGGGTATCCTCCTCTTCCTTGAGCTACATCTTTTACACATAGTCCTTCACCTGCTCTTCAAGGGACATTTTCCCCACATCCAAATCCCACTTCTAATTCTCTGAAATTCACTCCTGTTGATACCTGCACAGGGCTCCCAGGACGTGCTCATGGAAGGTACTGTGTTCAGATTGGACTAGAGCCACCAGTTGCTGAACCATGCCCATGGAACAGAGAGTCTCTGCAGGGAGAAAAATGCAAAAGGTGTTAACTCCTGAAATGAAAGTAAAGGCTCCTTTATAGCAAAGGTCAGCAAACTCTGCTATGGACAAGAGGCCAAATCTGGTCCGATATAGTTAGTCCTCAACATACAACCATTTGCTTAGTGACTGTTCAAAATTACAACGGCCCTGAAAAAAGTGACATGGCCATCTTTCACACAACTGTTGATCATGAACACATGATCAAAATTCAGGCACTTGGCAACTGGGAGGTATGAATGGCCATAGACAGTTGCACTATCCCAGGTCATGTGATCATCACTATCCCAGGTCATGTGATCCCAGCAGGCTTCAGACAAGCAAAGTCAGTGGTGCAAGCCAGATTTGGTTAATGACCATATGATTCACTCAACAACTGCAGTAATTTGCTTCAAAACTGTGGCAAAAAAAGGTTGTAAAATGGGGTGCAACTGACTTTAACAACTGCTTTTCTTAGCAATGGAAATTTTGGGCTCAACTGTGGTTGTCGAGGTCTATCTGTACCTCTTTTTATATGGCTCACAAGCCAACACTGGACAAGTAGGTGGCTAATCACCAGGTCTGATTTGCAGTCATTCTTAGGGCAAGGGGTGGGGCCCTTTGCAATGGAACCCTATCAGCAGCCTCCTTGTTGGTTGGCTGCTGCCGTCCAATGGCTACCGAGTTTTCGTATGTGATCCTAACTAGTTACTATGAAAGCAGGGATTAAGTGAATCAGGTTTAGTGAACCAAGTCAAAATGTTAACTTTAAGTCTCAGGTTCACCGGCGTCAGCATCATACAAGCAAAATGTGATTATTAAAACTTCGATGAGACAAAAGATCAGAACTATTTGGTCATGGAATTCACCAACTCTGATGTGAATCAGACTCCTTCTATCGCTGAGCCTACACTACTCTACTAATTGCAGTGAGGAGACAAAGGAATATCTGATTCTATGTATACCATTCTTGACGATGCTGGAGAGCAAAGGAATAAAATGTGAAGGAATATTGAAAATGATGACTCACATTAGTTTGGAACAGCAGGAGGACTTCCTAATGCAGGGGTGTCAAACTCAAGGCCCGCGGGCCAGATCCGACCAGCGGGATGCTTAGATCTGGCCCATGGGGCCAACCTGGAAACAGCAAAGGACAGGCCCGCGATGCCTCTGCCAGCGAAAACGGAGCTCGTGAGGGCCGCACACAGCCCTCCCAGGTCCCATTTTCGCTGGCAGATGGCTGCAGGAAGAAAAAAAATAAGGAAAGGAACATATAGATCTAAAACCAGAAATATTTCTGTTGGAGATTATACCAGAAAAATGTAATAAAGGAACTATGTATCTAATATGACATGTGATAACAGCGGCTAGAATTGTATTTGCATAACATTGGAAAGGTGTGAAGATTCCTGCAGATGAGAAGATAATTAAAAAAGTACTAGAATGTGCAGAAATGGATAGATTAACACTTGAAATTAAAGAGAAGGAAGATATGGAATATTTTGAAACATGGGATTCGTTTTATCAATGGATAAACAGAAACAGAAGTTAGAACATTTAAAATTATAAGAGAAGGGTTAATTTTACCATGAGGGTTTATTGTATGTTTATTATTAATTTGATTTAGTATTAACAATTAAGTATTAATATTATGTTGAGAAAATACTGTTATTATATGATCACTACTGTGTTTCCCAAAAAATAAGACCCTGTCTTATATTTTTTTGAACCCTAAAATAAGTGCTTGGCCTTATTGCCAGAAGCCCGATTGGGTTTATTATCAGGGGATGTCTTATTTTGGGGGAAACAGGGTACTAATGAACATTATTATTATTATGACTATTGCTCAAACTAACTAACCAGACAACACCGTTTATATAGACATTGAAACTGTTGCTCTTTCTTTATACAGTAAAAATTTAAAAAATATTAAAAGAAAAATAAGGAAAGAGGGGAAGAAAGAAGAATGAAGAGGGAAGAAAAAAGACGGACGGACAGACGGACGGAAAGAAGATTATAATGAGAGTGAGTGAGGGTCTGAGGGAAGTCATGCCTTAGCACTTGGCCACCACAGGTGCCCCCACGACATGAGTTGAGCTGCCCCCCCCCGGTCAAACACAATCCTGATGCAGCCCTCAATGAAACTTGAGTTTGACACCCCTGTCCTCATGTATCCAACAACTGCTAGCAGGGCTCTAGATCTTCACAAGGTACCATATTTTTCGGAGTATAAGACACACTTCCCCCCACTAAAAGAGGGTGAAAATTTGGATGCGTTTTATATACCGAATGTAGCCCTGCCCACCCACCGGCCTCACCCTTTGGCCTCCCCGCGTTTTCTCAAACAGAGCTTTTGGAGGCTGCAAACGTAGCCTCTCTAACAGCCTCCAAAAGGTCTGTTTGCAAAGGAGCTTCTCTTTGCAAAGGCAGCCTCTCAAATGGAACTTTCGGAGGGTGAAAAAGCAAGGCACAGAGGCCAAAATGGCAACCCGGAACAGCTGCTGCCTTGTTGGACCGGTTCCGTGCTTACCCTGCTGTACTCACTGGAGTGTCCTGCGGCGATCAGCTGCATTTTTGAAGCTGCGTATCTGCTCCAATGAGGTGTGTGCGCGCTCACAACCAGCAAACCTGTTGCTAAAGTTCACCTCTGGGAACAGCTGATTGGGGGTATTCCAGGAGGTGATCCACCTGCCAATCAGCTGCTCGTGCTGAATCAGGCTAATATGGTGAAGCTGACCAGGCTGTTTGCTAAGGACGCTAGCCAGATGAATACCGATGGATGCTGGTAGGTAGAGGCAGAATTTTTTTTTCTTATTTTCCTCCCCCAAAACTAAGGTACATCTTATACTTTGAAAAATACAGTAATTTCTGTGTATGATAGAAATACAGGCAGCCCTCATTTAGCGATCATAACTATGACCACTGAATGAAGTGATTGCTAAGTGAAACCCTGACTGCGTTTATGATCTTCAGCTTTCCTTTGCTTTACAGACTGCAAAGGTTATAAATGTGAGGATTGGTTGTAACTTTTTCATCACTGTCGTAACTGTGAATGGTTGCTAAATGAGGCAGTCACTAAATGAGGATTGCCAATAACCTTAAAGATGCCGGTTTGTTCCAGGAAGAAACGTAGGTTACAAGATCCAAAGGAAGTACAACAGACTTTATTCTCACCAAGAGTGAAGGTCTGATTCTCTCGGGATGGCTGATTTTACTGGGGGGAGCAATCCTGATCAGAAACTATGGGCCTATCAGAGTAAGAAGCTTTCAACAATCATGACCATAAAAAAACACAGACCAGCAAAGCCAGATTTCAGACAGGTAGGTTAAAGAGATCACGAAAGAGACAATAAAGAATTAAATATTTAAAGGCTGGTTAGATTGACATGATTCCTAAAATAGAATTCTTTATTGGCCAAGTGTGATTGGAGTCACAAGGAATTTGTCTTTGGTGTATATGCTCTCAGTGTGCATAAGGAGAATAAAATACATTCATTAAGAATAAAAGGATACAACACTTAGTGATAGTCAAGGTTACTAATAAGCTATCAAATCATACTAGGAAACAAATGAAAACAATATAAATTGAAAGATACAAGAAACATGGTTATAGTAATAAATGGAAAGAGATAGATACTAGTAAGGAAGAGAAGAATAATAGTAATGCAGTCTTAGTAAATTATTTGACAGTGTTGTGGAATTAATTGTTAAGCAGAATGATGGCATTCGGGAAAAAACTGTCCTTGTGTCTAGTTGTTCTGGTGAGCAGTGCTCTATAGCTTCGTTTTGAGGTTAGAAGTTGAAACAATTTATGTCCAGGATGTGGGGGGGTCAACCGGACACATAGCAAAACCCCACGAAGGACAGCAACTCCCTCCCTGCTCTTTTTCACCCATATACCCTTAGAAAAAGACTCTGACCTTTGTGTTCTGGGTGGCTTATGAGAAGATTCTGGAGGAGGAAGGCCGATTTCACCTTCAGTTTCTGTACATTACTCTGCATGGCCCTCATGAGCACAGAGAAGCCATCAAGGCGTAAGAATTGCTGTAGGCCAGCTTCTTGGGCTCTTACTAAGCCTGGTAGAAGAAGGAAATATGAAGAAAAAAAGGTGAGAATGAAGAAATGCAGACTGAACAATCAGTTGACTGAACAATGAAGGACCAAGATCTGAATGACTCTATGCAGTTCCCAACCCAGTTCAAGATTCACATCCCATCCACTTATTTCATCCTGACAGTATAACCAAGAATGCTATTACCCACGAATCAGGCTCAATAACTGTATCTTACAACATTCATTAAATGCCAGAACAGCCATGATACTATACAATTATCCAAAACCCTAGTATTCACTCCTGCTCACTATCACCTTCAGGCCATATTTTCCTGCAACTAGTTTTAACATTAGAATTAACCCCCAATATCTAATATAAATTCCACTGTCAAAAACATGATTTTCAAATGACAAATTTGGGTTCCTGAGCTGTACATTACAAGTTTGCTCCAGGCATCTAATAATGGTTTGTTCCAAGAAAACTCCAATAGGCCAGGGTATCTTAGTATCACAGCATCCTGTGCTTCTGTTCAGGCATAAGCACAAGAGGCAATTTGAAATCAACAACATTCTCACGGAGTGTGTGTGGTGCTTTGATTTTTGCTGCCTGGTTTTAGAGCGCTGCTTTTGACAGTGTCTTGGAAAGAAGAAAAGAACAGAAAACAAAGTTTAAGATAAGAAAGCCCTTTATCTCCAGATGATGTTTTGAACTGTAACTCCACAGCCCCTTTCTGTTATTATGTTGGTTAGAACCCACAGGATGCAAAAACGCCATAAGCTTTGCCACACTCATGTGGAGGATAACGCCAGACTGATTAATATCCCAAGTGTTAAAGTGATAATAACCCTAATCATATTTTAAAAAGTTGAAACAACTGGATGGTTTCCTAACGGATCAGGAAAGTGGTGCTATGGAAACAACGAAACTTCCTCCTCCTTTTCCCTATCGTAAATGGTTCCACTGCTTGCTTGCTTGGTATTTATACATGCATACATACATGCATGCATGCACAACATACATACATACTTCATATTTCTTAACCACCCACCTCTGTTTTACTGTTGTCTATGTAAATAAAAACACTAGATTTCTTTCTTCCCCTGTTGCACAGCTAACAGCAATACTGGGATAAATCTCCTTTCAGCTTGGCTCTCCATTCACTAAGCAGCAACTGTCTCCCACTCACAAGAAATGGCAAAGAGCGCCTTGATCCGAACAGCCTCGTTGGGGTCATGATCCAGCAGCCGCAGCAGCTTCCTCATGCAGCCCAGTGCCAGGGCCTGCTCTTGAACCTTGGGTACATTCTGGGCACAGGTGCCCACCAGATGGGCAGCTCGCCATCGCAGTTCCTGCTCTTCATGTTCCAAGTATCGGTGGGCCAACAACCGCATGCCCTCCAGTTTGCAGAAATCTGGAAGATGATTGAAAACTGTACAGGTAGTCCTTGTACTACCAATCACTTAGCAATAGTTCAAACTTATGATGGCCCACCAAAATGCATTTATGACCTGAATACAAAGTTCTGACAACCAGTCACGTGATCACATTTTGGTGCTCGGCAACGAGACTGCATTTATGGCCATTTGTAGTGTCTGAAGTTCATGTGTCCACAATTTGCATTATTTTTTGCCAGAAATTGCTGTTTTCTTTCAGTTTCTAGCAAAAAAAAAAAAAAAAAAGCTGACAATTGGTTTGTTAATAATCTCAGATTTGCTGAACAGCCATAGTGATTCACTTAACCACTGACACACAAAAAAAGTTGTAAAATCAGGGCAGTCGCTTAAAGACAAACATAATTTATAAGTTATAAGTTATAACAGTAATTCTGAGCCTGATTACAGTTATAACTCGAGGAATGTCTACAGCGATACTGGCAGAATACCAGCTAACTTCTCCTGGCCTTAATCACTCTGTTGTGGCTCAAGGAGTAAGGATATAACTGCTTTCTCAACTTGAATGACCTCCAAATATGTGGACTCCAACTCCCAGAATTCCACAGTAAATATGCCTATGCTGAGAATTGTGGGAATCTGTAGTTTTACTTTTGTGATTCTTCAGTGATTTCCACTAACATATTTTACATATTAAGGATTATACCTGTCAATCAATGAATTGCACCCATGTGTACTTCCCATCCCAAAGTCCTTTGAAGTCCACCCAGATTATACTGCCCCAAATTGCCCAACTACAAAGTGCAATTTCTCAGAAATAAAACAAAAACAGGCCTTTGATTTGATTTTGTATATGTAAAACCATGAAAAATCCATCCCTTTAAAAATTCCTTTCCCAAATAGGCCTTCTCAATTTGCATTAGCAACATGGTCATAATCCCTGTAGCCATAAAATCAGTGTACGGGCTGGCTTTCCAAAAGTTACTCCCTTTTGACTGAAGCCTTCTGTTACATTTTCTTTGGGAGGTGATGATGAAAGTTTTTTTTTTTTCTTGGACAAGAGACTATATGGTGGGGAGGGGAGGACAAGAATTTTATTCAGCTCAGCTGGTTTTTAATTCCTTATCTTGCAATAGTTTGGCTTGGCTGCAGTCAACGTTTCCCAAACTTTTAAGAAGACGTGTGGACTTCACCTCCTAGAATTCTTCAGCCGGAAGTGCTGGCTGAGGGAATTCTCCGAGTTGAAGTCCACATGTCTTAAAGTTGCCGAGGTTGGGAAACCCTGTGCTATAAAAGAACTTCCTTTTAGAAAGATATATGCCTCCTTTGCCTGAAATATGAGTTGGAATCAAGAAAATAATACTGCAGCACGGACCTCTTATGTTCAAATAACAATGTTTCTCACAAACAGATCAGGGGTGGTATTCACTTACCTTCGCTATCAGTCGCAAATGTGAACACACACGCTACCTACACACCTGCGCAAAGTGTTTCGCGCACTGGCTCCCAGTGGTCTTCCGGATGCGATTCAAGGTGTTGGTCACCACCTTTAAAGCGCTTCATGGCATAGGTCCCGGGTACCTTCGAGACCGACTTCTGCCACCAATAGCCTCCCACCGGCCAGTTCACTCCCAGAGAGGGTCTCCTCCGGGTGCCATCGGCCAAGTTATGTCGGCTGGCGACACCTAGGGGGAGGGCCTTCTCTGTGGGAACCCCAACCCTGTGGAATGAACTGCCCCCGGAAATGCGTAAGATCTCCGACCTCCGGGTATTTCGCTGTGCACTGAAGACCCTGTTGTTCCGCCAGGCCGGGCTATCAACATAATAATTTTAAATTGGGGTATTTTAAATTTCTGGGGTTTTAAATTGAGCCGAATTTATTTAATAATTTTAAATTTTAAAATTATTAAAAGATGTTTGTCTTGTGTTTTTAAATAGGCTGTACACCGCCCTGAGTCCTTCGGGAGAAGGGCGGTATAGAAATAAAATTATACTATACTATACTATACTATGTGCAGAGGGTAAAAAATAACATCAGGGCAGGTGGGTGGAGCCTCCCGCAGCAGCCGCTACCGGTTCACACGATCCAGACAGAACTGGCTGAATTGCACCACTGACATAGATATGAGATTGTTTTTGTACCTGCAGCATTATCCAAGTTTTCACACAACTCTGCCAGTACATCAAGGGCATTTTCCCTTCGGTCAAGATCTGAATGCGTTTCCTCTGAACTTTCCCCACGTTCTGCTCCTGGGCTTAACTCTTCCAAAATACGCAGGCATTCCTTCATTTGCTCTACTTCATCCATCTGCCCACGAAATGCCTCAACCATGGCTTCCTGCAACCACTGTCTCCTCTGGGAAATTGGTCATTAGATGGGGTGAAGAAGAGGAGAGGAATGAAAATTGGTAAACAATCTTCTGTTTTCATGCTTAGGATGCTTTAAATGCCATATTAGAGCTTATTTTTTCTCTCAGAGCAATATGCAGTATGAAGATGGTGGCACAAACAGTTGTCCCAAAGGCAATATAACAACACAATCACCAGTGAGTAACTAATCAGTAAATTACAAAAAAAAACAAAAAACAAAAAAACCTAGTACAACTAAGTACAAATCAGGGAAAACAATCAACAATAACCCTATTAACTAAATTGATTTGAGAGAGAGAGAGAGAGAGAGGGAGGGAGGGAGGGAGGGGGAGAGAGAGAGAGATTAAACCCAGGTTTTCCTAATTCCTAGGAAATCTCAGTACTTAATTTAGGATGATAACATCTCATTTCCTTGCTGAGGGCATCAGAAGTGTTTAAATGTTTAGCTTTCACCTTTCCCACAATGAATTCTATTAAAAGTAATTCTGCCATTAATGCATAGGCAAGGTTTGTTAGAGATGCATACTTTAATTTTTTCTTTCTTCTTGCACATAATTCAGGCTGGTAATTAACATTACCATCATCATCTAGATCAGTGTTTCCCAATCTTAGTAATTTTAAGATGTGTTGACTTCAACTCCCAGAGGGGGTATTCTGGGAGTTGAAGTCCACACATTTTAAAATAGCTAAAGATGGGAAACACTATCTAGATTTAAAGGTAGTTTTTCCTCCAGGAACTATACATTCTCTCTTCTATTTTTTCCCCAAAAAACCCAAACAAACCCATGAGGTAGATTCTGCTAGCTACCCGAAGCCATCCAGCAAGCTTCCCTGTCTAAGGATGGACTTAAATCCATGTGTCCATTTTCCTTCTCCAACTTCCTACTAGAAAATCTAGGGCCTCTGCTTCATATCCTACTTCCTTCCTGGATAATCAGGAATCCCTTATGTCTAAACGTTGGACTCGATTCCCTCTCCTGATGAGCCCAGCTGCACACCTCATCAGACATAGGTGCCGTCTGACCAGGTTCGGTGTTGCCCGCCATGACTGCCATCTGCAGCAGCCCCTGCAAATTGCGGGGATGCTCGCGCGGTGGCTGGTTCCCATCTGTACCCCCTTCAGCCATGGTTGGGGAATGTGGACGCAAGTCACCAACGTGGAGGCAAGTCACCAAAACTGTAAATGAACTGTAAAGAAACAAAAAGAAAGAAGAGTAAGTGGAAGAGAAAAAAAACACTGGGAGCCTAACCACAGGATCAGCCATATCTTTGCTCCAGTCCTTACTTTTCAGAAATACCACTGCTCTCTTTATAAGCGAAACCTTCACCCAAGTATTGCAATACAAATGTTCTTCATAAAAGTGTCAGCTTGTCAGCCTTAAGTTCTCTTTAGAGTCAGAAGACTTAGTTCCATTCCTACTTCCCCCACCCAACAATCCAAGCTGTCTGCTAGGGCAGAGATTCACAATCTTGGCAACTTTAAAATGAGAGAAATGACATGTGGACTTCAACTCCCAGAATTCCCCAGCCAGCATGCCTGGCTGGGGAATTCTGGAAGTTGAAGTCCATGCATCTTAAAGCTGCCAACATTGGGAACCCTTGTGTTAGGGAGTCAAAAAAACCACAACCATAAGCATAAAATCAAAGCCCCGTTTCTTTTTATGTGTGGTGTGTGACACACCATCTTGACTTTTTTGACCTTCCTCCTGAAGATAACCCTGTCAAGAATGGTACACCGCCTAGTGTTTACTTCATGGCCACTGAGCATTAAGTCATTAATCAATGGAGTCATTAATCGACTATTAACACAAAAGTGATCATAGAAGACCAATTTCCTGCTCAATGCAGGAATCCAAATTAAATAATCCCAAAGAGATTCTTTTGCCTGAACACATTCAGGGAAAGGAAGCCATCACTTACTATGAATAGGTAGCAACTCTATTTTTTGGCTGGATTATTGAGTCAGAAGTTACATTATCTCTAACTACCAAGATACTCTAAAAGACTATCTTCTAATTTTCTATTGCTTAGAGAATCGTAACTAGCTTTTGTCCACCAGATGTCAGCTGTGGAGACTTAGCTAAAGATTTTTAGGATTTCTTTCATGGGAAAAGGGATGAGAAAAGGAAGCTGTCCATAAACAAAAATAACACTTTGGAAGATATGAGAATAGGAAGGGTAAGAATAGAATACAGATGAGAAATCCTGTTCTGGGAAACCTGCATCCCACAAGTTCCACCCTATATATGTATACAACACCACTGAAGAACTCAGCTCGTTTATTCTACCAATTTATTCATTTTTTTAATCCTGCCTTTCTTTTATAAATAATTCAAGGTGGTGAACATGTCTAATTCCCCTCCTTCTTCCTATTTTCTCTACAACAACATTGTGAGGAAGGTTGAGCTGAGAGTTACTGGCCCAAAGTCACCCAGCCAGCTTTCATGCCTAAAGCAGGACTAGAACTCACTATTTCTTGGTTTCTAGCCTGGTGCCTTAACCAAACTGGTTCTCCTGATACAATCCATGGGTTAATCAGGTCAAGTGTGAACTAGTTCCTATCCCCCGTCAAGCATTTTATAATAGAAATTTTAATTGTTTCCAAATGTAGACCAGCAGACAAATTATGCTACTTTGGTTCCTAAGTCATGGGTGGATTCGAATTGATAATTGTAAACTCTGAAACAAGATCTGGGAATTATTGTAGAATCAGGCCAATGAACCCCAATGACATTTTATGTACTTGGTGTAGTACAGGGGTGTCAAACTCAAGGCCTGTGGGCTGGATCTGGTCCACAGGGTGTTTAAATTTGGCCCGCAGGGCTGCCCTAGAAACAGCAAAGGACCAGCCTGCGGTGCCTCTGCAAACGAAAACAGAGCTCGAAAAGTTCTGTTTTCGCTGGCAGAGGGCTGCAGGAGGCCTTCGTGGCTGAAAACGGAGCCTCGACGAGTAACGTCAAGCTGGTCATGCCCTCCCTGGCCACGGCCCCCCAAGGTCAAACACAACCCTGATGCAGCCCTCAATGAAATCGACACCCTGATGTCGCATTATCTCAAAATTACAGTTAGTCCTCAACTTACGATCACAATTGAGCCCAAAATTTCTGTTGCTAAGTGAGACATTTGTTAAATGAATTTTGCCCCGCTTTAAACCTTCCTTGCCACAGTTGCTAAATGAATCACTGCAGTTAGTAATATCATTGTGAAGTGAATCCGGCTTCCCCATTGACTTTGCTTGTCAGAAGGTCGCAAAAGGTGATCACATGATCCAGGGACACTGCAACTATCATAAACACGAGTCAGGTTTTGCCAAGTGTCTGAATTTAAATCATGTGACCATGGGGATGATGAAACAGTTGTAAGTTTGAAAAACAGTCATGTCACTTTTTTGGTGCTGTTGTAAGTTCAAACGGTCACTAAATGAATTGTTGTAAGTTGAGGACTACCTCTACTTTGGACATCTCCTTTGCTCTCAGCTTAATCTACCTTACAAGACTGTTGTTTCAAGACTGAAATAAGGAAATGAAATAATTATGTACAGAGGAGGGCAGACTATTTAATGAAAAAATAAACAATCCTATGCAGTTCTTGCCCCAATAAAGGAGAATATTTGTAGCTCAGGGTTGACATGAGGGGTCCTTGGTGCTTTCTGTGCTTACTTGTTTTCTTGCAGACGTTTCATTACCAAACTAGTTAACATTATCAGTGCTACTAGTTTGCTGTCAGTTTATATTCTATAGAATTGTATTCTGTAGAATTAGAATATAAACTGACAGCGAACTGCATTTCTCTCAATCTTTCTTCCAGTTGTCTCTCCTGAAGCTCTAGGAGTCTAAAGTTAGGAATCAGAAAGTCCATAGCTCTGAGCCAACCTGTCACGAATTGATTAGACGGGCTCTCTGTGGCAACGTCTTCTCCCCAGGAGATGTATATTACTGCCCTACAATGCAGGACTGTTGTATAATGTTTACAAATAGGTAATAATCGCTCTGAAGGTTGGGAGGCCCGACACCCATTTACAACCAGGGAGCCGATATGGCATGGAGTGGAGTGGGGAGGTTTTTCCACTAAGTAATTGAAGACTATGGGATTTTTCCGGAGAAGCCAAAGGGAGTTTGCAGAGGAAGGGCGATTTGCCTTTCTGAGAAACGGGGCTGGCATTTCCCTAAAGGCCAAGTACAGGTTACAACCAGTTACAGGTTTCCAAGAAATTGACGGCTTGAGCTCGGGGAGACCCCAATTTTCCTGCCCTCTTTCCTACACCCCATGATGAACCCCTTTTCTCCTGGGGTGGGGGTTCATTCTCTTTTTTTCCTTCCTTCAAACCTCCCCCTTTTCTGGGGAGTGGCCCTTCCTCTCCTCCCTGCCCCCGCCCTCCCCTTGTCCAGGTACCTCTCGGCGATGTCGGTTTCCCACGCCGATCTGTCCCGGTCCTGCCTGTGGCTCGCCCTGCAAAGGACACGCGTGTCTCCCCAGCCTAGCTTCTGCGAGCGGCCATAGGCAACCACGTGCGAAGGAAAGGGCGGAGACTGGGGGTGGGGTGGGGAGACTCGGGAGCCCCTGGTGGCGGCTTTCGGGAATTACACCAGACGCCGGTTCCGCTTTCGCAAGCGGCAACCTCTTCGCGTCGGCGGAGCAGCGTGAGGGATGCTTTCCGCAGACTCCCGCCAACCAGGAAACCCTGAGATCCTAAAGGGCTAAAGAGGTGGGGGAAGAGCAGCCCCGCGGGGGTCTCTCAAGTTCCAAGGGGTCCCAGGTTTTTTTGCTTATTCTTGAACGCATTACGTTTCTTGATAAACTGAGATAACCTTTATTGTCATTTTTTATTGTGGGCACGCTGGCACACATTGAAAATGAAATTCTGTTGCCTGCTGTCCAAAGGAAGTATACAGTATACATACATACATATATATATGTGTGTGTGTGTGTGTGTATATATGTATATGTATATATATATATATATATACCTATCCATACCCATATCACAAACACACACACACACACACACACACACACACACATAGAGGAGGGGGCTTCGTGGTATCGAAGTGGTATCGATATCGTGGAAGCAGAATATCTAGATTCAGGCAGTTTTGTTCCACATAGAATCAACCTTTTAAACTCTCAAGCTTCTTCTTTCAGCTCTATTCAAAATGGAGTATATTAAGTGATAATATATATATTAAGTGAAATCCAGCAGGTTCTGACAGGTTCTGGCGAACCGGTAGCGGAAATTTTGAGTAGTTTAGAGAACCAGCAAATACCACCTCTGGCTGGCCCCAGAGTGGGGTGGGAATGGAGATTTTGCAATATCCTTCCCCTAGGAGTGAGGAGGGAATGGAGATTTTGCAATATCCTTCCCCCAGGAGTGGGATGGGAATGGAGATTTTGCAATATCCTTCCCCTGGAGTGGAGTGGGAATGGAGATTTTGCAGTATCCTTCCCCTGCCACACCCACCAAGCCACACCTACAGATCCAGTAGTAAAAAAAATTGAATTTCACCACTGATATTTATATGTATATATATGTATGGATGTAGGCCTATTTGCCTGCCTGCCTACTACCTACCTATCAGGGGTGGGTTCTACTTACCTTTACTACCGGTTCGCAACAGAGCTGCGCGCGTGCGCTTGCTTCGCTCGCAAGCGCAGAAGCATTTTGATGATGTCAGGGTCAGTGGGCAGAGGCTCCCGCCGGTTTTACTACCGGTTCTATAGAACCGGTGCAAACCGGGGGCAACCCACCACTGTTACTTACCTACCTACCTACCTACCTATCTCTACACCCATCTATATGTATACACACATATATATTAATCACTGTCTATTTTGAATACAGGGCTGAAAGAGGAAGCTTGAATGTTCACAAGACATATATGGAACAAAACTGTGACTGAATCTGGATATTCTGCTTCAAATACCACGAAGCCCCCTCCCAGGAAAACAGATTGTGAAGAGAATCTGTGGTGTGCCAGATAATATTACGGCCTTGTGCCCTATTGGAAGTTGCGGAATACAGTTCACTTAGTGACCAAAGTTACAACAGCACAGAAAAAAGTGACTTATGATCATTTTTCACACTTATGACTGTTGCAGCCCTATGGTCACGCGATTTATACTCGGATGCTTGACAACTGACTCACAACAGTTGCAGTGTCCTGGGGTCATGTGATCCCCTTTTACAACCTTCTGACAAGCAAACTCAATGGAAAAATCCAATTCACTTAACAAACTTGTTACTAATTTAACAACTGCAGTTATTCACTTAACAAAGGTGGCGAGAAAAGCTGTAAAATGAGGCAAAGCTCAATTAATAAATGTCTTAGCAACATTAATTTTGGGCTCAATTGTGGTCGTAGGTTGAGGACTACCTGTAGGAGAGCTGGATGGGATCTTGAAGGTCTTCTAGTCCAACTCCCTGCTTAAGCAGGAGACCCTATACCATTTCAGACAAATAGTTGTCCAATTTCTTGTTCGCGCCCATAGGGAGGGCCTGCTCAGGGTGCCGTCGGCGAGACAATGTCGGCTGGTGGCCCCCAGGGGTAGAGCCTTCTCTGTGGGCACACCCACCCTCTGGAATCAACTCCCCTTGAGGCTCCGGTTGGCCCCTGACCTTCGCACCTTTCGCCGCAAATTAAAAACTTGGTTATTCGAGTCCCCTGGCCTGGACTAATGGAGTTTTATACTGGTTTTTAATTTTATCTGATTTAATTAGGTATTTTAATTTTGTATAATGGATTATTGTGATCTTATTTATGTGAGTCGCCCTGAGTCCATTGGAGATAAGGCGGCATATAAGCCTAATAAAATAAATAAATAAAAATAAAACCCTCCAGTGTTGGAACACCCAGAACTTTTGAAGGCAAGCCAATCCTCTGGTTTAGTGTTCTCACTGTCAAGGAATTTTCTCCTTAGTTCTAGGTAGCTTCTCTCCTTGGTTAGTTTCCAACCATTGCTTCTTGTCCTGCCTTCTGGTGCCTTGGAAAATAGGTTGACCCCTCTTCTTTGTGGCAGCCCGGCAAATACTGCAACATTATTATCATGTCGACCCTAGTCCTTCTTTTCACTAGACTAGACATACCCAGTTGTTATAATCAATCTTCATATGTATTAGCCTCCGGTCCCCTAATCATCTTTCTTGTTCTTCTCTTTCCAGAGCCTCAACATCTTTTTTATATTGCAGTGACCAAAACTGGATACAGTATTCCAATCATAGTCTTATCAAGGTCCGTGTACTGGATATTGGAGCATGGGGTCTCAGATTTGGGAAGCAGACCTGGGTTGTATACATCCAGATGAGCATGAATTTAGATGGCAGTAAAACTGACAGCCAATTCCCATCATCCTCAGGCCGGAAGGAGGATTGTGACAGATTCGCATGTCTAGTATGAGGATGTGATTTGGAGTCCATCACATCTTGGAAGTCTGTAATGTATTCAGTGTGAGTGAAGGATAACGTGGACAGTGCTGTAACAGTTTCTGAAAGAAGAACTAGAAGGTAACTTCTATATCAAACTCAATATTATATATTTATCCCCCTTTTATTCTTTTTATAAATGACTCAAGATAGTGAACATGCACAATACTCGTTCCTCCTCCTATTTTCAAGTTATATTTCCTATTTCCACTGCTCATAAAGTCTGATTATTATTTGCCAATCTGAGTCATAGGCTGGGATCCTATGCCTTGGCAGTCTCACACACACACACACACACACACAAACACAGAGAGAAAGAGATCTGATGCCTTATTGGATCCTCAAGGCAGAAGCTATGTAGATTTTCATGACTATCCCTTGCAAGATGAGTATTGCAACAGATTAAGACAAAAGCATTTTGCCTCTGATTGATGCTATTTTTTAATTTCCCATAATGTTGGAAAGCACAACATATAATCTAGCTACCTTAGTACAGATAGTCCTTGATTCACAACATTTGTGACTTTTTGAAGTCGTGGTGGCACTGACAAATGTGAGTTACAACCAATCCTCACACTTATGACCATTGCAGAATCCCTACCATCATGTGATCAATATCTGAGTGCTTGGCAACTAGCACATACAACCGTTGCAGCATCCTGGAATTATGTGATTGTGCATTTGACCTTCCCAATTAGCTTCCAACAAGCTTACTCAGTGGGGGAAGCCAGATTCATTTAAGAACTGTGTGATTCACTTAACAACTGCAGTGATTCAATCATGCAAGAAAGGGTTGTAGAATTGGGCACATTCACTTAACCACCACTTGCTTAGCAATGGAAATTCTGGTCTCAACTGTGGTTGTAAGTCAAGGATTACCTGTACATAGTCCTGTCCACATGGGGAAGACTGGTAATAGCAGCTGTGTCACTCTTCACGTAGGGTAAAGATCTTGGGGAGAGCCTTAGGAATACACAGATTGTAGACAAGCTGGGAAACTAATAGAAGAGAGGGTCAACTTATTTTCCAAAGCACCTGAGAGCAGGACAAGAAATAATGGATGGAAACTAATCAGGGAGAGAAACAACCTGGAATTAAGGAGAAACTTCCTAACAGTGAGGACAATTAACCAGTGGAACAACTTGCCTTCAGAAGTTGTGGATGCTTCATCACTGGAGTTTTTAAGAAGAAACTGGACAGCCACTTGTCTGAAATGGTATAGGGCAGTGATGGCTAACCTTTTTGCCATTGTGTGCCAAAAGCAGGGGGGAGCACGTGTGCGCGCGTGCCCACATCCATAATTCAATACGTCCCATCCCCCGTGCATATGCACGTAATCCCCCCGTGCTCCCCCCACTTTCGGCACATGATGCCACAGTGAGCCTGGTAGGCCCATTTTTCGCCCTCCCCAGGCTCCAGAGGCTTTCTTGGAGCCTGGGGAGGGCGAAAACAGCTTTCCCCATCTCCTGGAGGGCCTCCGGAGGCTGGAAACGGCCTATTTCCCAACTTCCCAGAGGGGGTGGGGGCAGAAGGCCCAAAAATCAGCTGGCCAGTGCACGCATGCATGCTAGAACTGAGCTAGGGCAACGCTCTCGCTTGCACAAATGCGTGTGCACAAATGCGTGCACAAATATGGCTCCGCGTGGCATCTGTGGCACGCGTGCCATAAGTTCACCATCATGGATATAGGGTCTCCTGCTAGAGCAAGGGATTGGACTAGAAGACCTCCAAGGTCCCTTCCAGATCTATTCTTATTGATTGAAGAAAAGGTTGAGAACGGTTGGGCCAGTCACTCTCAGCCCAACTCACCTCACAGGGTTGGTACCAAATATGGTAACTGAGACCATTAATTAATTAATATTGTAACTCATGAATTGCATTCCGAACAGTAAGACAATGTAATCAGTCATAATTGTATGTTTTTTGGGGTATCCACTATATTTTCAATTGTAGTAACTTGATTTTAAATTGAAAGAAAATTCATCTCTCTGGAATTCATATTTTATAAGCTGCCCAGAATCTGCTGGAGGACCATCTTAAGTCATTTCATAAAATAAATTAATTAATGTCTAGTTTTTCTAAACAACCCTTCCGTCGATTTACAAAAAACATGTCATTCAAGATCATTAATCCAAAGGTTGCAGATGTAAGATTAAGCAAGAGCATTATCAATTTACATCATTTCAAATATAGAAATAAGCTTAACTCTTCTTGATTTCCTTTGGCCTCTTCCAAATGTGATTCAATTTGGAACCAAACCCCAACTTCTGGGGAATTCCAATATATCGGGCTAGTTCTTTCTCTTGTAACTGGAGAACTGCTGCAAATACTTCAACATGCAATCCTTCTCTGTCCTCTTCCATTCTCCATTCAGACATAAATATAGAATTGTATTAGACTAATGCCTTACATTTCCTAACATCTGATCCAGTTGTCCCATACTGTTCAGAAATTGTCTATCCATTCATGTGTACCATACTGGCAATAACAGTCCAACCTATACTTATAAAGGATCAAATTTGAGAAATGTTTTTTAGCTGGATTAGTGAATGACTCTTGGAGATGGTGGATTTGTATTGTATTTTATTTCTTAGTTTTTGTTATCCTGCCTTTATTATTTTTATAAATAATTACAGGTGGAAAACATATCTAATACTCCTTCCTCCTCCTGTTTCCTTCCCCACAACAACCTTGTGAGGTAGGTGGGCTGAAAGGGAGTGACTGGTCTAAAGTCACCAACCTGGTTTTTCAAGTTTAAGACAGGACTAGCATTCACAGCCTCCTGGTTTCTAGCTGGTGCTTTAAACACTAGACCAAAGTAACTATCTAATATAGGTTTGTTGGCTCCCTGGCCCAACCCAATATAAGTTTCTTGCTACATACATCTAGCTTTGTGTCTAATGCCAAGTACTCAAACTCTAAATTTCAGGAGCTTGTTCTTAATCTTAGGTTCTGCATTACATGTGTGTTTGGGTTTACATATGTTTGTACATTAAGAAGAAAAGAGAGGTTCTTCCTTCCAGCAACTTTAGTAAAAATAGTGGCCTAGATTTTTAGGTTGAATTGAATCAAACAATCAAGCAAAGATGAAAGAAAAAGGAAAAAGAAAATCAGGGGTATTTCTGCCTTGCAGTCATCTTGAAAGTTCATTGTATCTTTTCACCAAATGTCAGCTGCTATTTTTCCTATTTCCCAGATCTTTCCTTTCTCTATTACTTTATTTGTAGTTGCAAAAGCATGTGTCTTAATGCTCATATGTAACATAGGATGCAAGGGGGAGTTCCTGCCTTCCCCCCCCCGTAAAAAGTTTCTCCTTTGAGAAGCATTTTTATTTCTTAATTTCATCCTCTTTTTATTTTGCCTTGCCCTTTTCACTGTAACAGTTTGGCTACCAGATTTTAAAAAGAAAAAAAAAAAGCTTCAAATATATTTATTCTATTTTATTATGCATTATTCTAGGGGCTTTCTTTAATAAATGTTCTTGATTTTTACCTTTAACATTTTATTTATGTTATCTTAGTGTTTTATTTTATTATGTTATGGCTAACTGTAAAAAGACAAAGTACATATATAAAATCACTACCTCTAGCATCTAATTTGTGGTGCGTAACCTTTCACAAAATGGTACCATCCAAATGCAGAAAGGTAGTTTGGTATTAACAGGCTCGAATAAGCCCCGGGTTAGCAGAGGTCCACTAATAATTCAGTAGGCTCTCTGCCCCTAGAATATTGGTAACAAGAGGAAATTGAAAATCAGTGGGGTGGGTGGAAGGAAAAAAACGGAGGTTCCATGAAAGGGCAATTTCAAGATACCTAAAACTATAAACTTAACATACCATGTAGCTGCATTCTTTGGCAGATACAAATCGCTGTTGTCTTTCCTATTATGTCAGATAGATAGATAGATAGATAGATAGATAGATAGATAGATAGATAGATGATAGACAGACAGACAGACAGACGACAGACAGTCAGTCAGTCAGTCAGTGGTGGGATTCTACCGGTTTGGACGGGTTCGGGCAAACCATTTGCTCTGACTTTCAGCCGTGACCGAACCGATTCTCTCTTTTTTTGAAGTGGGCCAGCCCACCCCTGCCTTATACTCACTTATATTTCTGCTTCCGAAGCCCAGCTGATTGGGGCGGCAGAGTGGATTGCCGCTCCTCAGCTGGTTTCCTCAGCAACGCTGAAGTTCACTTTTCTGCAAAGTACGCATGTGCGCAAAGCACGTGCTCAGCAAACCGGTTGTTAAACCAGTAGGATCCCACCACTGTAGATAGATAGATGATAGATTAGATGGGTGGGTAGGTGGGTAGAGAGGGAGAGGCAGAGGCAGAGGGGGGAAGAGAGAGGGGGAGAGAGAGAGAGAGAGAATTTTGAATTCTCTCAAGAGACTGGTTGTAAATCAGGAACTACCTTTAAATCTAGGCTGCCAAATCTGTCAATGGACAACAGAAAGAAAGAAGTAGATAATTTACAAGGACACTAAACATGAAAGCTTGAATGACTGTGAAAATAGTTCCAATTTTTTTTTTAAAAAAAGCAAAATACTAAAAGAGTTAACATTTGATTTTAAATTTATGCCTGCTAGATGGAGGACATGAAGACAAAATGGAAGACATATTCTCCTTTTGCTGGACATTCAGGAACTTATAGTTATCCCATGTTACACTCACAGTCGAAGTGGGAATTTAGAAAAAGTAATTAAGAACAGATAACTTTGTTACAGTGCAGGATGGATCCAATCTTTATTATTATGTTTCAGTCTCAGTGTTTCTATTTATGATAGGTTAGCAGGAAATCATACAAAATAAAACTGAATTTATTTTCAAAAAGAGAAAGAGACTACCAGTATACAATTAGTCTTTAGTCTTAGTCTTTATTTGATTTGTATACCGCCCTACTCCCGAAGGACTCAGGGCGGTGAACAGCCAAACAATAAAATACATAAATACAAAATTTAAAAAACAGAATAAAACCGAATTAAACAAATTTGGCCCAGACAGATTTAAAACACCCCAATCATTTAAAACAGATTAAAATTTACGTATTAAAAGAGAAAAAGGGGGAAAAGATTAGGCCAGGCCCGCCTGGTGGAATAAAAAAGTCTTGAGAGCGCGGCGGAAGGTGCGTAGATCCGGGATCCTCCATATCTCCGGGAGGAGCTCATTCCAGATAGTAGGTGCCCCCACAGAGAAGGCTATTCCCCTGGGGGCCGCCAGGCGACATTGTTTGGCCGACGGCACCTGGAGGAGCCCCTCTCTATGAGAGCGTACCGGCCGGTGGGAGGCTATTGGTGGTAGTACGCGGTCCTGTAAGTACATATACATATAACACATATTGGATATGCATCTATCATTATTTAAACTTCAATCTGTTCTATATTTCTCCTTTGCTTCACTCAATGTTTGTTCCAATTCTCGTAGACCTATTCCCGTAAGGATGAATCTATGACGTGTGTGCAACATTTTGAGTGACATATCAGTGTTCATTAACACCCAACCCTGTTTTCATGTGATATTTGGAGGCTGCTGAATATGGCTTCCTAGCCTCAAGCCTTGGCATGGATATTTTCCAATGAAACAGACCGAGACAGGAAGATCATTTCATTACAATTTGTTCAAAGCGCTCTGATTAAAAAGGATTCCTCTCATTCAAAGACAGCCTCTCAATTCTCACCTTACATTCTGTTTTATAGTGAACACATTATAGAAAATGCAAGAGAAAAGCCGATTAGTCAGGACAAAAGTAACTTCCCCTTTGCATAGGAAATCAGTTACATGTAGTCAAACATGATACATGTATGTCTATTTAAATGAGGTCTGATGAAAGCAAGGCCATTACATTTATGACGTTAATGAGGAAAAAAAGTCATAAGGTTGTTTGGCGTTCATAAGAGCGATACAGATAGTCCTCGACTTACAACAATTCATGTAGTGACCATTTGAAATGGCAGTGAAAAAAGTGACTTACGAACATTTTTCACACTTATGCCTGTTGCGGCAAGGTCTCCTGCGTGAACAGGGGGTTGAACTAGATGACCTCCAAGGTCCCTTTCAACTCTGTTACTGTTACTGAGTATAACAATACTACAAAGTCTATGTTGTGTGGCCTTCACTGCAGAGCCTGTGCAAGAACAGAGTGTGCTCTCATGGTTTGGGGAGGCAGCAGAGGCCATGGAAGAGCATTCTCTGAAGCTGTTTGAAGAACCAAGGCCTTGTGCAACTTGGAGCCATCTCAAGTAGGTCGCAGGGACCTGTCAGAAAGAGGACACCACCTGAAGGTAAGCGACGTATGGCAGATCCTGGAGAATGCTGGGCTTGAAGATCTCAAGTTGGAATTAGGAAAATTGTTAAAGGAATGACTGAGGTGGAAAGTTGCAGCTGTGATGAGTGTAACAAGACCAGTAATGAATGAGGGGACATACTGTTGTCCTCAATTCAAGTCTGAGCCTGATGCTGAAGCCAATGGAGAACACCAGACACGAGGAGCAGGTTTTGTTTCTTTTTATTGAAGCGCTCCAAGAAAAAGGATCCTGGCTAGAAAATGCCAAGGAACCCCAAACAATAAAGAAAGCTTTATACATTTTCACTAAAGCAAAAGGCAGGATATATAAATCATCAAAAATCATCTAATAAACATTTTAGTAATATAACAATTGTCCTATTGGTCTCTAGCTGTTTCTATTACTAAGGTTTGCTAATGAATGCTCCATGAGTTATCTAATACACACTGTATTTGCTCCAGACCAGGGGTGAAATTTAAAATTTTTCCCTACCGGTTCTGTGACCGTGGCTTGGTGGATATGGTAGGGGAAGGATACTGCAAAATCTCCATTCCCACCCCACTCCAGGGGAAGGATACTGCAAAACCTCCATTCCCATGCCACTCTAGGGGAAGGATACTGCAAAATCTCCATTCCCAGTGCACTCTGCACTCAGCCAGAGGTGGCATTTGCTGGTTCTCCGAACTACTCAAAATTTCCACTACCAGTTCTCCAGAACCTATCAGAACCTGCTGGATTTCACCCCTGCTTCAGACCATCCCTATTCCTAACTTATAGCTGAGGTCTGCAAGATGTCTAACTCTTTGTTACTGTTATCAGTCTTCTAGCCACCTAGAATTGAAGTGTTACGCGTGCATATTCTCTGTTTCCTTTTAGCAGACAGCCCATCACTACTGTCTAGCAACAAGAAAGTTACAAGAAATTTACAAGTTAAAAGGACACCTTAGAAGGATGCCAGCTACAAGGCACGTAGATATATAACCTTTGATAACCTCATTATAATAGTAAATCATGTTTTGATAAGAAAGCTTATTATTATTAACATGCAATGTGTGAAGAAGGAGGGTAAAGCCGAAGAAACCAACCAAAAGAAACGTGTCAAGGAACCAATGACTTATTCTTAGGGTGTTAACTTGCTTATCATAGCTGTATAAAGTTTATATTTGTACATTGTTTTGGGTCTTGGCTCCTTTAGCTGCTAAGACCTTTTTGCTGGAGTATTGCAATAAAAGAAGCTGAAAATGCCATTCCTCGTGTCTGGTCTTTATTGGCTTCAGCGCCAGGCTAGGATCTGTTTTGGGAACAACAGACTGGGGGGGGCAATTTTGTATGCGCTTGGTGGAATAGCACAAGATAGACTTTTTATGTGGTAGCAGTGGCGCTAGGACTGAAGTCGAGTCCTAGGCCTCAACTTCAGGCCCAGCCTCAGTGCTATTGCCAAGTGCCACTATTCAGGATGACCTAGAAGTGGGGGAGATAGAAAATTGTTTCTCTTTTGTGTGTGTGCGTGTGTTTGTGAGAAAGAAAGAATCAAGTTAGGCATTTTGTGAATTTTTGACACACTAAGCCCAAAAGATTAACTTACGTTTTGCAATATGGAAAAGGCTTCATGGCCAGTCTGCATTTTGGTGCTGCTTCTCCAGGAGCCTCACTTTTTCCTGAATAAAAATTTTGCTGCCCATCACAGATGAAGAGAAAATACGGTGGCTCAGCACCACCCAGGATCTTTGGGACTGATCTCTTCAGGCAAAATATGCAAAATTATATGCATGTGTGGAGCAATTACAAATGTTTCTTTTACATTGATGCAGAAATATGCATCAGAATCCTATGCAGAAATGATGCCTCTGTTGACACTCAGAGCAATTTATTAATTTAACTTCCCTGCCCATCCGTCCCAACATCACCTTTGATTTTAAAGTCATGATTCTGAAAATCAAGTGCTTGTTAGGAATGCATTTCATCTTCTGTGTCCCATGTCTGTACAGTGTTTACAATGTTATTTTTAGCAAGAACTTCTTGTTTAATTGTCTAATTTATTTTCCCTGTTCATCCCCACTTCTTTTTCTACTCCTGTTGCTACCATGAATGAAAAGCTTTGTTTGGAAGTTTCTTAGAAATCCATTTGTTGCATCTGTGAAAAAAGTTGGGGCTATTGATGATAACCCCAAACTAGCTAAGTTTCCCAGGAATTACATTTTATTCTCTTCCAATTGCATTCTGTTTTCTCTGTTCCTTTTAGCCCATTATGAATTCATCCATTGCCCATGGCTGGGAACTTTTAGAGTTATCAACTCAGTAAAAACAGAGGGCATTAGGCTGAGAAAGACTGTTTTGTTCTACAGGTAGTCCTCGGCTCACAACAATTCATTTATCAACCGAAGTTACAACAGCACTGAAAAAGTGAGTTATGATCCTTTTTCACACTTACAACCATTGCAGCATCCCTATGGTCATGTGATTTACATTCAGATGCTTGGCAACTGATTCATATTTATGACGGTTGCAGTATCCTGGACTCATATGATTCCTTTTTGCGACTTTCTGATAAGCAAATTCAATGGAGAAGCCAGATTCACTTAACAACTGTGTTACTAATTTAACAATTGCAGTGATTCACTTAATAAATGTGGCAAGAAAGCCGTAAAAAAGGGGCAAAATTCACTTAACAAATGTCTCACTTAGCAACATAAATTCTGGGCTCAATTGTGATCGTAAGTACCTGTATACCCATGAAGATCTGTGGTTTGCATTCCTCGTCCAACATTGCAATTATAAGGAAGAATTGGGTGATCTCTGATCTCTGCCCAAAACCAAAACAGCAAGAAGGAAAAGCAAAGAAAAGCATAATTAGTCTCAGTGAGGTAGCAGTGCTTTTCAGTTGAGTTGCAAGGTAAAACCAAAGGAAGTTATTACTACAAAAGTGCCCCCCCCCCGGTTCCCCCATCCCTGTCCCCCATTTTTCTGACTAAGAATAGAACCTCATTCTGAGGCAATAAGGCCTCTTCAAGATATTCTGCTACAATTGTCTGAGAGCTCTAGGCTTCAAATGTCTTTTTTTCTTGTAAGTTTCCATCAAGCCATGTTTGATGTCTGGTAGACCATTAAACCATGTTTTTGTTTTTTCCTTTTTTGTTTTGGCAACCATGCAGAACTACTGTAATACATCATTGCTTAAATCCTTCAGATTTTTTTTTTAGTTCTCAAGCTAAAATTTCCTCATGGTGTTCCCTCCAAGCATTAACGGCTTAGCCTTTCATGGTCAGCTAAAGTTAACTGCAATCGTTCACCTACCGTAGCTGAGCAGGCAGTTTATAAAAGAATTGATCTAAACACCAAGTACAACCTACTTAGAAGTCAGACGCACCAGGGAAAGGTTTTGCTTTCATTTTATTATTATCAAATAATTGATCCTCTATGAAGGCCTTTTCATTGAAGGACATGGACTGTAATCTTTTCTCCTGATCCAATGCAGGTTGGCAGAAAGACAATGTTTTTATTTCTTATTCCAAACCAAGAGAAAGTGACTGGATCAAGCTTTTATGCCTAAAGGAAGACTGGAACCTGGATCTTCCTATTCTTATCTCAGCATCCTAACACTAGACCATACTGGATCTCAGTTTGTTTATGTGGAAGAGATTACATGACATAAACAAAAAGTAAGAGATCTTGCAGCTTTCTCTCTCACACTCACACATTTTCTCTCCCTCCCCCCTTCCATCTTTGAGCACACCTGATTTCTTGCAAAGGGCAATCCCTCTGTCTACCAAACACATGGACACAAACACACAAGCACTGCCACCCCCTTACAAATCAGCATCCATCTCTTCCTTGCGAAAACTCATTACATATTTGTGGGTATTTGTGCCCACACCCGTATATAAAAGCTTACATGCATACAATATTCCCCTACCAGAACAGGAACCTGCAATCTGCAGCTGAGTACCCTGCTTCCTTCCCATGCTGCTCATCCAGTGCTCCCAACCTTCGCTAAGCCCTCCCACCCCGCAGCCCCACCTATCCCGTCAGAAACCTTTCCCCACTCCCTTTCCCCATTCCCAACCCCGCCCCTTCATCCCCACCCCTTCCCCCCTGCCTGGGGAGGAGGCGCTGCCTTTGTTCCGCCAAGGGTTAACCTGGATTGTGTCTGTCACCCAGTTGCCCGGATGCTGATGTAAGGGGAGAGCTCGAGAGATCCCTTCAGATTGCAGTGAGAGGAGGCGAAGGACCAGCCTGGGAGAAGAGCCTCGCCAGGAACATCCTTCATCCACAGCATCGTCTGGACCAGCTGAATGATGCTGGTACCCGGGCTGTAGCATTCTTCCTTCTTCTCTACCCTCCCTTTCCTGATGCCGAGAGCATCTCCCTCCTGCTAAACCCATCAGGATGCCGGCCTCGGTATTGTCCCTATAGGGGGGCACTGGGGGGGCCTTGCCTCGCCTTGCTGTACCCCTTCCCATCCCACCACCCCCTGTTTCTGATTGTTGCTCAGAAGGGCGACAGACAAAAGCCATGTCCGGTGGCAAAGAAGCAGGTGGGGTCCACCCTTACCAGTCGCAACAGAGCCAGCAACATGCTCAGTATGTGGGGCCCTATCGGCTGGAGAAGACTCTGGGGAAAGGGCAGACCGGTGAGTCTCTGGCAGATTTGGAAGTGGAGTCTGGAAAGAGAGCACCAGTTCCACGGGGTGGGCATGGTATGAGTAGCTCAGCTGCTGAGAAAATTGCTTTCATCTTGGCCTCGGATGTATCTAAAAACAGAGGATAATGAAGGAACATCTGGGGTGTTTTGACCAAACGGTCCAGGTTAATTTGGCCCACTGGGAGGAATAAAACATGTTGAGGTGGTACGTGAGTGGAACTGTTGATCCTATGGCAAGCTAAAGGTGGGATTGAGAGGGTGGGGGAGCATAGGGCTCCTCTGGAAATTCATTTGGGGTTTGTGAGGTGAAGGTGTTAAGAGAAGGTTGCATTCCTACTTTCCTAGAGGTTTTTTGGGGGGAAGGGAAGTAAATGGATGCCCTGCTTAGGGCAAACAGCTTTTTGGTAGGTAAGTGGGCATGGGGTGCGGTTTGGGGGATATCATTGGAGATGTTGGAGGTGCTGGTGGGGGCGGGAATCTCAGAAGAGAGATAATGTTAGTCTTATCTGTGTTGGAGTATAGTTAGAGGAGAGCATCAAATGTTTCCCCTGTTCAAGTATATTTGACATGCTCGCAACCTGCAAGAAATAACATTGTAATAGTAAAAAGGCATAGGTTTTTAAAAGGCCACAACTATATTACTACTTAGCTGGAAGTGTCGTTAGATTCCTCGAAGACACAATGTGTACATGGTCGCAGAGAGATGTATGTTCTGTGTCTTTGTAAGAGGTGTGTGTGTGTATAACACAACCACTTAAACAGAGGGGAAGGTAAGCTATGGATTTCATGGTTGGATCACTTTTAAGCCTGCTTTCCAGGCAGCTATGCCAGGCAATTGGGGCCTGAAGGAGAAGGTGTCAGAGGTGCAGCTGATGCTTTAAAAAAAAAAAATACTGCAATGACCAGGCTTGGTTGGGGAAGAAGAAAAACCCAAAATAGGGAGGGAGAGGCTAGAAAAATAAGGGATGGGGATTTGGACATCCTGATCTATTTGCTCTCTGTCTCTGTCCTGTGGGGACTCTGGATCTGAGGGCTGAAACTAGGGATGGTGAAGACTGTTGTGGGAAGGCCTATACATTTCTCTCCTCCACCACCTCTTCTCCTGCTGCAGCACTCCGTATGAATGGAACAGGGATTTAAAAAAAAAAACCCTCTCTGCAGGGATGCTGATTCGACTGTGCGGTTTATACGATGGGCTTGGTTACGAGAGCGACTGCTTAAATAAATGCCTGAGAATGGGTTTTATGGAAATCTGTCTTCTGTAGCTCCTTGTCTTCTTCTTTCTTGGTCAGGCACTGGAGGGAAGACTGGAAGTGGGTTGGGGGGGGGGGATCTATCCATCTCTCTGCAATGATGCAGGAAAACTCAGACCACAGGCCTCTCTCCCGGGTCCTTTAATTTCTGTGTGTCTGTGGGTAGAATGAGCTTTGAGGCTTCAAAAGGGGGGTGGAGGGGAGGTGGATTTCTGCAGTGGCCAAAAAAAAAGAAAGAAGAAGACATCCTGCCTTTAGAAGAGGCCAGCGTATATGTGTGTGTATGCATGTTTGAGAGTTGTTATCCCCCTCCCTCCCCGAATCGTTATAATAAAGATCTGGAGCAAGTGGATAAAAGAAACAGAAGAGGCAGCAGGGAATAAGGAAGGGCCAATTTTGCTGAATAATCATTTCTTGACTGTGGCAGCAGACAGTTTATACAAAGATGATTCAAGAATATCCCTATAAATGGGCAGATGGATGGATGTTGTTCTTGGCCTGGAGGGGGGGGGGGGGGGGGGGGGGGGGGGGGGCAGGGGTAGAAACAACCAGGTTGTTTCTAATAGACCAGAAACTAGGAAGCAATTGGGGAAGGTAGTAGGGCAAATGGATGCCTCATCCCGAGAACAGAGAACTTAGATTCATTTTACTCTGATGATATTGGCATGGATTCCCATCCATTTATTTCCTTGTCTTAAGGAGTTGAATGTTCGGTAGGGAAGGAGATGGATAGGCAATAAGTGAAGCTCACAAACAAGAGACATGCCCAAGGTCATCAAGGAGCTACTGGCAGCAGAGATGCAAATAAAGAGTGGTAGATTCGGTGTCTCCGTGATGACCCTGTTTAGTTTTGTTTTTCATTCCCTAGCCAAGCTAAGATGGGATGGTCCAGCTGGACCTGGGGTGTATGATGAATGGCCTGTCTGCCTGTGCAATGAAGAATCATTCAGATATGGAGAAAACCGTTTTGCAAACTTTGCAAAAGAATCTGTGTATGATATGGGTGGTAAGCATGGCTGCACTGAAAAAGTTCTTCTAAAATTATGGAAATATTCCAATAGTAACCAGAAACCCCTTTTTCTTTTTCTTTTCTTTTCTTTTCTTTTCTTTTCTTTTCTTTTCTTTTCTTTTCTTTCCTTTCTTTTTCTTTTCTTTTCTTTTCTTTTCTTTTTTTTTTTTGCAATTAGAATCCCTTTCAGTGGGTTTGTTACATGCTGTCTGGGCAGGGATGCAGCTGGTAGCTTGCTGTTCTTGGATTTAGGAAATCTATCAGTTATGAAACCGCAATAGATGAGATTCTATGGATGTCAGTCATACTTCAGTCCTATTGAAATCAGTGGGAGCCCACGTTATTAGTTATTTTTTATTAACACTTTTTAGTACTTCAGAGAAGGTATAGTCCAGGTTGCTAGCCTTTGTCATACCCATATCACATACAGCATTCCTTAGCAATGATAAGGATTACAGAGTTTGGGCCCATACTTGCCGATCTATCACAAGTGCAACAAATCTTAAATTAAAGTTATCCTGAGCATGCTTATGTTGTTCTGTGTAAGCTAGGATCTTTAATTAAAACATTACTTTGCAAGCCAATATATTGCCACATCCACAAGCATGGACTGACAACACACACTTGGGGATGCCGACAACATTCAAAATGTTGTCAGTTTTGGATTTCATCAGAACTAAAGCATGAATGATAATACTGGAACAAAACAAGCGGATGTGTATCGGGAAAATCTGGTGATCTTAGGGATATTTGCAAGATGTAGTTTTGAAATTCTTTGTTCCTTACTCCAACCCAGAAGCAAAACTTCTTTCTTGCTCTGAATATATTTCCCATGGATATTTTAAGCTATGTATGTATGTTCATGTGCTTTGGAAAGAAATAATAATCACCAACTTAGGTCCCTCTTATTTATACATTTAGGTTGGAGAGACACTTATAAAGCTAAAAATGAGCTCTAAGTCTTCATGTTAGGAAATCTTTTTTTCCCTAAAAATAGAACATGGAGATTTCTCTACCACCCTGAAACTTTTGTTTATATTTGATAAGGTTACTTAAACATATTTAAATCGGAATCTATCATATGGGGAAACGGACAAATTAATTCCCTGATTTTTTTTCTGAGATATATTCTGTACCTAGTAAGCTAAGTATCTATGGAGATTCTCAATCATCCAGGTCATGGTTTGTCCCAAAGGTGCTTTTCAAAAGGCAACTGGACACGTTTCACTTCTCATCCAAGAAGTTTCTTCAGTTCTATTAGAACTGAAGAAGCTTCTTGGATGAGAAGTGAAACGTTTTCAAGAAAAAACTAAATGTTCAGTTGCCTTTTAAAAAGCATGTTTGGGACGTACAACTGAATAGTTTTAGTCTCTTAACTCTTATTATTTATTTATTTAAAATATGTATGTGATCACTCCAGATCCCAGGAGGACTCATGACCATTATATAAAATAATATCGAACAAAGAATAAAATCAAATAAACAAAAACCCCTCAATAAAATTAGCCTTAATTTTTCCCCCATCAGTGTTTGTGGGAAATATGTTGTTTGACTCACCATAAAATGTTCTGATTTGTTCTATTGATATATTTATTTGTTATATCCCATATTTCCTATAGGAGCTCAAGGTGGCACACATGGCCCTCCTTTACCTCTTTATTTTTACCTTCTCCACCACACTGTCAAGATATCTTAGACGAGGATGATACCTAGCTTGATTCACCAATGAACTTCACCCTGAGTGGGGAGTTGACTTCTAAGTCCTATGAATCCTGTTCCACCATTTTTGATTTACATCCTGCCTTTCAGTGATAAGACCTTCAAGGTGGCATTTATAAGGTCATCCTTTATTCTTTTCCTCACAGCGACAACTGTATAAAGTAGATTGTGCTAAGAAAAAGTGAACACTGTAGTTCCCAATTGCCCACTGAGTTCACTCAATCTAATCCTCTTATACTAGTTGAAAGGCTGGTTCTCTGTGTAACCAGCCTTGCAAATAATCTCACCAATATTAGGTCACAAAATATATGAAGTCATGGAGGACTACTGTTTCGATCTGCTAGGAATAGTCATTTTTTTCATTGTATCCCCTTATGGCAAATTGCAATCTTTTTTTCTCACCCTTCCCTCTGATTGCCTCTTGGAGAGGATGCCAGCATTTGGGTACTTTGAGTAAACTGCGTACATGTTATCCTTCAGGTTTCAACTTCAAACTCCAAGCAAAATCTCACAAAGCAGAACAGATGTGCTTCAGGGGTGGTATAGACTTACCTTCACTACCGGTTCACAAATGTGAGCACGCATGTGCCACACTCTGCACATGCGCAGGAATGTCTGCGCATGACCAGAGCATCAGGAACGGGAGTGATGATGTCCAGGTGGGTGGGCGGAGCCTCCCGCAGCCGCCGCTACCGGTTCCCCCGAACCGGATAGAACCAGCTGAATACCACCACTGATGTGCTTATTTTATATGTGCACAAGGGTGTAAATTCTATAGGCGGGAATGGTGCGGAATTGGGCAATGACATTTCACATACTGTTGCTGTCAAAGGAAACTATAAAAAGTATAGTGGACAATATGTTTGCGGGGAAGGGGGCTTAAACACTTCCTGCAACCAAGCATAGCTCATTATCAATAAAGGAGAATATTTGTAGCTCAGGGTTGAAATGAGGGATCCTTGGTGGCTCTCTGAGTTTGATTGTTTTCTTGCAGACGTTTCATTACCC